TGGGGCATAGGAGGTGGGTTGAGAAGGCGGGAAGGGATATCGTTAGGATAGACAGACTAGGGAAGACACATTTGAGCCACCTTGGGCAAAGTAGAAAGGAACGATTGGCCATCGGTGATCGGTCCTGCGGGAACAATGCTCCGTCCTCTCGAGGACGCGTGGTCAATGGTCTAACCGCTAAGGCCTGCAAAACGTAAGAGTAACCCCCGCCCCCCCCACCCGCGAGCAGGCCCCACATCGAAGGGGGCTCCGTCGTACGAGAGGTTCCGCTCTTTGTTGAAGGGTCAGCCGGCTACATAGCTCAGGCTTGCAGACGACACAACCCGCCAGACATGACATTACCAGACCCCGTTGAACAACCGTCAGGAGATCAGGACAAGAATCCCTGAGTAAGTACTTGAGCTATGCCAGTTGCTCGCCAGTTGTCGCCAGGAACATTCGAACCCCATGTATCCACTTTCGGAGCCCATGTGCGTTGTGATGAAGTCAACAAGTAAACACCGAACGAACAGTGTCCTTGAAACACGCTCGGCTACAGCTGTAGACTGCATGCACATGATCAAGCAAAAATCATCCGAAAAACCACCCGTTTTCAGTTGAGCGGGGGTAATGTCGATCGAAGGAGATTAGACTACGTTTGTCTAAGGAGGTGGCATACCCTAGGACTCACCGCAAGGAGGTTGGGGTTGCGAGTCACCATCCTGTTACCCGAGCAAGAGGTTCCGAGTGCGTCATCCACGGCGTGTACAGGGGGTGAGCACGGGGATGGGGGAGCAGCGAGCAGAGGTGAACAGCGTCAACAGAGTAAACAGGTCATATCGAGGTGCTTGAAGGTCGAGAAATGAAGTACATCACTACAACCAGACAAAAATAACCCAACCACTTTCAACCCTCACCGTCAGTCAAGTTCAGCCTTCACCACGTTTGATACCATACATCAGAAGTAGTTCCAAGGCTGCCGACACCTTTGACACAACATACCGTAGGTCGCATGGTATACCATAGCCCCTGGGCCGATTCCCAAAGCTCGACCACTCTCAACTCAAGCAAAAAACAGCAACGGCGACGGAAAATGTCGGCGTTGGGACCGTCTCGACCCAGAGCTTGCCGAAAGCGTATCAATTTGAACTTGGCATCCTCTTCGTCGTGGAGAAATCGAGCCTTGACGCTTGGTCAAGGGTGGGGGTATGTTATCTTACGCCATGCGTCCTACGGCACACACCCTTTCGTCTCTTCCTCCCCGAACACCTCCGAGAAGGCCTCAAAGGTGGCCCGGAAAACTGACCCGTCGTAGCCGAGGCACGAGGGCGAGTTCTTCACCTGTTGGCAACGCAGGCGACACAGCAGCAGCAGTCGTGGCGGGATAGGGTTCAAAAGTTCGGCCGTGGGTGTTGAGGCAAAAAGGGCTGTTAGGCATTTAACTCTGCCGTGTCCATATCTCCTCCAGAAAGGACGAAAAGCAGCGGACTCGCTGGCATTTGTTGCAATGTACTATGCCTGTGTGCACACAACGCCCGCTGGCACGGCAAGCATGTGGCTGCGCCGTCAACTTATTGTCAAGGATTGCATGCTTCCCCAAACAATGGATCGCGAAACTCCGGACCTAAACCTACAGAGTAGCTGGTGTTTTTTTTTTTTTCAACAACCCGTACTGTACTTACACAGGCATTAGTACCGATAGTCTTACGGTACGGCTTCCCTCCCTGGAGGACCTACGATTCTTGATGTTGGTTTGGGGGGAAATCTTCTTTCCTGCCTCGTCAACGACGCGGTCGAATATCATTATCGTGCATGCACTCAGTCGCAGACATGAAAAACACCACGCCATGGGTCTGACGCAAGATATCGAACCCCACAGATCGCAGAGCTCGATTGTTCCACAGCAGGCCGGCGGTGCCGACCAAAGCCGACATGATGGTGGCTTTGGGACCGTCGCATCGATAGCTCCCCGAGTCGTTTGATCTAAACACCCCCTTCGTCGTTCGTCGTGGAGTAATCGAGCTTCGAAAATCGTTCCAGGGGGGGTGGTATCTCGTGTCATTTACGGTACAACTGTTAGTACCGGGCGGGCAATCTGGCATGAGATATCGACGACAGGGTCTATACAATCGACAAGTTTCGGTCGTAGCTCTGTTTCGTACACCGCGCACCGATATAACGGTCGTGTAGACATACACTATGCAGCAACGGGTCTTTGGCTACCTAACCGATGGGGGTGGACGAAGGGACGACGGGCGGGCCAGCATTCCAGCACACGAGGCGGAAAAACATGCACCCAGGTTGCGACGTCGTGATCCTCGCGGTTCATGATCTCGAGGCTCACCATCTGCACGGCGTTGTCCTCGCCATAGACCTTGCACATCTCCGCAAAGGTGCCCGCGGCCCTCTTCTCAATCCCCTCGTCCGTCTCCCATCGCTTGGCGCCCACCAACTTCTTGTACCTCGCCACTGACGACTCGACGTTCGACGTCGCTTGCATCACTACCCCTGCTGGTGCTCTCGAGGCTCCTTTGGGACCAACGGAAGCAATTGCTCGTCCGGAGGGCGGACATACGAACGCGCAGGTCTGCCCTGCCAGCAGGCACACACCAAGGTGTAGAGCGTAGATGGCGGATCGCATGGCGGCAGCGAGGTACGGGTCAGAAGACAGAGAAGCTAGCAGCAGAGCAGATACGCCGCCAAGTGGCAATGGTATGACAAAAAATATTTTTTGTCATACACCATTGCCAAGTGGCGCCACGCGACGGGGGGGACGCGAACAATATTTACTGTATGACAACAACAGGGTATGTTGTGATGCGTCGCCCCCCGCAGATTCGCACAATACACAATACCCAAAAGATATCGCGCATTCACCACAAAGCAGAGCTACACAACTTGAGATAAGCGGTGCCAGACGAAAAGGACAACAGGATCCAGCTTCGGCCGCGCTTCTGCAGAGTAGAAAGGTGAGAGCATGTGCGGGAGACCCTCGTACGCGGTGCGCGCCGCAGACAGGTGGAGAGATTTCGAGTTTGCGAGATGTTACGTCCCGGTGAAGTTCGGTTATAGTACATACAATATTAATATGTAGTTCGCCTGACTGACAGTTTGACTCCTTCCTTTGCCCATGCTTTTGATGGAGGAGCTCTGTGCCGCACGTTTTCTTTATTTTCCGGGGTCGCGTTCTGCACTATTTTTGCGATATTGCACCATGATGCCCTCTTGTGGTGGGTGGTGCACTGTCGTCAGGCGACAAAGAGGACCCGGGCACCACCGTTACCCCCCCGTCGTCACCTTCGCCCGCTCTTCTTGAGCCTTTGACGCCTAAACAGCGTCACAGTTTCTCCCGCATGTGGGATCATCTCCCCAGCCGTTTGCGTGAGATCTCCTTTGATCTTCACGGTCCGGGTTGGACTCCTGAGGTCATCACAGAGCTAGGACACGTTCTATGCGAATACCCTGAGGCGTTCTCGAGTTCTCCCACTGACTGCCGATCCTGTTCGCTCTTCCCCTTCAAGCTTACAGTTCCTCCTAGCAGCGCCCCCGTAACGTCTCGCCCATGCCGCGTTAATCCCCCGGTGGCGAAACAAGTTGATGCTATCCTCGACCAGTGCCTCGATGCTGGTTTGATCCAACATTCGACTTCACCCTACTCGAGCCCTTTTGTTGTCATACCGAAGAAATCTGGTGGTGTTCGCATCACTGTGAACAATCGAAAGCTTAACAAGCTCTGTGCCTTGAGCCAGCTTCCGGTACCTCGAGTTGATGATACGTTCGACAAGTTGTTGAAAGGGCGAATTTATTCCCTTTTCGACATGAAATCTTCGTTCCACCAAATTACGGTTCACCGTGATGCGATCCCTCTGACGGGCATTCGTGGCGTCTTCGGGACTCATCGAGTGGTTGAATGTGCCGCAAGGTAGCTCCGCCGCCCCTGGGTGGTTTTGCAAAGTCGTCAATGAAGTCATAAAAAATATTCGCTGTGTTGCATCGTCCTTGGATCATGTGATCGTCTCCGATAATCCCCCTGCCTCTTATGTTGGTACCATTCGCGCTCTCTTTGAGCGATTGCGTACACACAACTTGGAGCTCACGCCCCCGAGAGCCACTACTGGTGCTACCGAAGCGGATTCCCTCCGACACACTGTCTCTCCTGGCGGTGTCCGGCCTAACGGTGCCAAGGTCGCGGCCCTCACCAAAATGCCTGTGCCCAAAGACGTCAAGCAACTTCGTTCCCTCCTAGGCGGTCTCAGCTACTACCGCAAGTTCCTTCCCAAATGGCTAAACGCATTCGGCCTCTGACCACCCTCCTTAAGAAACAGGTGAATTTCCTCCTCACCCCTTCTATGGAGCAAGCCGTTCGCGTTCTGTTGTCAGAGTTGGCCAACCCTCCTGTTTTGGTTTATCCAGATTGTGATGCCGTTTCGGACGGCTCGCGACCTTTCCATATGTACTGTGATGCTAGTCGCGATGGGTTCGGTGGGACCCTCGAACAAGAACAGCCAGACGGATCCATTCGTCCGATCGTCTTCATCAGCGGGGCTACTTTGGACTCTGAACGACACTGGACTCCCTTCGACCTTGAGGCGGGCAGCATTGTGTAGGCGCATCAAACGCCTTCGCGGTTACATGCGGGGTACTAAATTTCGAATTTTTACCGACCACAAATCTCCTGAGCACTTTGCCAAGGTGGGGGAGAACAACGCTCGTGTCCAATGCTGGCATGAATTCCTTACCGCCTACAATTACACATAGAGTACCGCAAAGGCTCTGCCAACGGCAACGCTGACTTCCTCTCTCGTCTTCTGGTCGTTGCGACTGAACGTGACCGAGCGGGTCGCAGTCGCACCGGCTGTGGATGAGGACACCGTGTTTTCATCCGTTCTTGCGGCCTTACCCCTCCCGGTCATCAGACCGTGGGTGTTGGCTTAAGTGGGCTCGTTCCGGCTACTCCTAGTTCGGTCTTGGGTGGGCTTAACCCTTCTGCGGCTGACTTTGTCGATTTTCGCACCCATGGTCCTCGCCTTCCACCGTCTGGCCTTACGTCTTCGCCTGGCGTTTGGAGCATCGATACTTCGCCTCTCACGGCCCTTGTACCTTCGTCTTCTCGCCCGCTCCTTCGGCCTCATCCCAAACGTGTTTTTCCCCCGTTAGTCGGCTCGCTTCTTGGCAACAGACTTCAGCTGATACAGTTCTGGCCCTCGAGCCTGCGTCGGCCTCGGCCGCTCCGTCTGTCGTCACTCCACGCCGGCCCATCGACCCCACCCAGATAATTTCCACACGTACACGCAGCAAAAAGGCAGCTGTGGCAGGTTCGCCGCTCCCGCCTGTCGATTACGGTTTTTCCGACGACCTGTCTTCTCCATTCCCTACACGGAATTCCGCCCCGCCTCGACCGCCTCGACGGTCCCCGACGATGCCCTCGGCGCCAAACACGCCGCCCGCTTTATATTCAGCGTCTCCGGCTTCTCAAGTGGACTCTGCCACTTCGGTTGCCCCCTCGCTACAATCTCCTGTACCTCCCGACTCCTCGGAGTCCTCGCCGAGTTTGGCCTCGACCGCTCGTGCGAACCCGCCCCCGGCGTCCATCGCTCTGCACTCTCAAAAGCTGCAGCAGACGTCTCCGGAGTCGGTCCCCTCTTCAATTGAGGCGGCCTTGCACTCCTCGGCGGAATTGGAGTTCCGGGCAACTGTAGAATGTTTCTCGCATGCCGATTGGGCTCGCGAGCAACGTAACGAAGTTGTGTGTGATGCCGCAATTCGTTGTATCCTTCTGGATCGACCCTCGGTCCTCCCGTCGGATTTCTGGGGTGACCATGTTCCGCTCACTCGTCGACCTTGTCGGTTAGAGACTCGTGACTTGGCTACCAAAGGCCAGTTGCACGTCGACGATGACGGTCTGGTCTTGCTTGTTCGCAAGCCGACCAAAGCCCCGTCTCCCTCTTCCACCCGCCCTGGTGGACGTGCAGCTCGCCTTCTCAAGGATGAATCCATCCGGATTTACGTTCCTATTATTATGCGCCCGTGGATCATGAAAGCATGCCACGCGGATGCGTCCTGCCATCCAGGTGCAGCTCGCACGCTAATGCTGGAACGTTATTATTGGTGGGTTGGCATGAGTATCTGCACCAAATGGTGGGTGCGGCATTGTTTGCGATGCCACGCCCGCAAGTCGTCTCGCCATACTTGTCGATGGCCTACATTGTGCCTTCCATTACCTTCGGGCCCTCGAATATAGGTGAGTATGAACTACTTTCGTCCTCTCCCGTTGACCCTTCGTGGCAACACCTACATTCTGCTTTTCAATGATTGTTTCAGCTGCCGCGCTGATATGTACGCGGTCACTGCTGCCGAATTCACCGCCGAAGGCACCGCTGACGTCCTCGTCACCAGGTACATCCCATTATGGGGTTGCCCGTTGAGTCTAGTGTCTGACAACGGCTCTCAGTTTGTTCGAAACTGTCACAAGCCGTGTACGCCCGTCTTGCTATTCGCAAAGTGGCTACCAGCTCTTACCATCCCAACGGCAACGGGGGTGTGGAGCGAGTCAATCACACCATGGCTCAAATGTTGGCTATGGTTGTCCATGAAAGGCAAGACGATTGGGACATTCATTTGCCACACGTCGAGTTTGCATACAACAATTCGGTCAGTGCCGCAACTGGTTTAGCGCCCAACGAGGTGCACATGAACCGCTTGCCGCGCTTACCGATGACTATCCTCGAGCATCCCTACGCTCGTGGCCATCAAAGTTTGCATCGTGACAAACTTGAGTATTGCGATCTCGCTGCTGACCGTCAACGTCGTTCATACGACTTGGTTCGTGAACAGCACCTTTTGTCCGTCTCACGAATCGAGCGGCGGAACTCCGCCCTCTCGGGTGCTTTACACAAGCTTCCCTCTTACACTGTCGGTGGCTGGGTTTGGATTTACAACTCCGAATCTACCATTCGCCAAGGTGTTCGTTCAGGTACAGGTGACAAGGTACTCAAAGCCAAGTTGTCTCTGCTCTGGACTGGCCCGTTCAAAGCTCTGGCGGTGGGCCCGTGTTCTGAAGCCCCTGATGGCCATCCTTTGGCGTCTAAGTTGCTCTACTTGGACCTCCCGTCGGATCAGCCGGCCAAGACCCAAAACGTCGTGTGTCTGTAGTGCGTTGTAAGCCTTGTGCTAATCCGCACGATACCGACGACTTGCCACGTGTTCTTCCTGCGGATCTCACCCCGTATGTGTTGAATTCTTATGCGAATAAATCTCCTCCCTACCATGTTACGGAAACAGACGTCTCGACTCCGGTCGAACGTCTCGAGGTTGGACGCAGTAGCGGCCACCAGTCCATTCGCGGTCGTGATGACACTATGGCGGTTTCATACCAGACACATTGGAAAGGCCTTTTATGCCCCTCTTGGGAGCTCGAGCTGGATCTGCAACATTTCAAGTTGCACATTCTCCGATACTGAACCCGTTCGCTGGACCAACACCGCCAAACGAATCGCCGTTATCGGGCGATGCGAATTGGTGCGGCCACTCGTGAATTGGCGCGTGCTAAAGGAGAACGAGCCTTGCCGTCGGGCTATTCGCTCGTCTCCCGTTCTACGTGGGATCGTCATTTCGCCGCTGCTCCTTTGCCCGTGGGCGCTC